GTACGACCTCCCCAATTGTAAACATTAACCAGTGTAAGTGAAAACAGCAGAAAATCATAGTGTAAATGTAATTGTATTTTACTTGACGATGGCCATAAAGCCCTGAAACATGAAAAATAATATATGAAGATTGCATACACGAATCGTGGGACAGAATAAATACTATTTTCACACACACAATATGACTCTGAAATATAGAATTCATAATCCATTGAAAAGATTTCGACGGACGCATAATTTCCGTGAAAAACACAATTCAGTTTGAAGGCGACCTTGTATTATACTTCGACTACGGTATGTATTCACCGTAATCACTCAATCACTCACTCACGGAGCTGAGCCCTTCTTGAGAAGCCGCCAATTCTGCAGCTACTCGAGAACTTCCCAGCATTTTATGGAACCCGAATGTTCATTACCGTGTTCACAAGAGCCCTCTAGTGGTCCTTATCCTGAGCCAGATCAATCCAACCCATCCCATCCTATCTCTCTTAGATAATTTTCGTAAAAAGTTTATTTTTATGGCGAGTTGTTAGCCCCACGCCCAACCCCCAAGTTGGAGTACCACCCCTTGCCGGCTGTTAGCGACTGCTTATTCAATATATTCGCAGCTTCCCTCCATGTCTGGAGGCCGTCTCCTCCATCCGCAATCTGAGGACGCGCCATGCCGTCGTGACAAAGGACCCAACTATTCATATTAAAAGTGTCGTGACAACACGGTACATGTTCCCAATAGCAATGTTTTCCATGAAAATTATGCATTGGGTGAAGGTTAACTATGGGACATTCTCATCTCAGTGTTCATCAAGAAACTGCGTGGTGGAACCGTAGGAGCCATGTCACATCGCATTCAACTTCAAACCGTGTTCTCCGTGAGAATCAAAAGTCAGTAGAAATTCTATTAAGGGACATCTTCATCTCAGGGCTAATCAAGGAATCGCTCGGTTCAATCTGTAGGCGCGAATTTCTGGAAAACTACATGTTTCTGTGAGTCATATATATAATTGAAGTGGAACGCCTCTGTGGTCTAGAGGTCAGAGTTCCTGGCTACAGATCAAGAGGTCCAGGTTCGATTCCCGGCGCTACCAGATTTTCTGAGAAGTGGTGGGTCTGGAACAAGGTCCACTCAGCCTCGTGAGGATAACTGTGGAGCTACTTCAAGGAAATAGCGGCTCCGGTCTAGAAAACCGAGATTAACAGCCATGGGGATCCGTTGCGCTCACCACGAGACACCCTCTATTCTCTGAAGTTGGCACTAAATTCGCCGACAAGTGGCGGTCGCTCGGTCGGTATTTGCGGACTAAAGCCACGGAGTTTTTGCTTTTTGTGTTATGATGATCAGTTATTGATATGTCTGCAGGATTTGAGGTTCTTATGACGGTGACTCAGTCTGAATTAACCTTTACCCCTCCTTCCGCTGGTTTCTTGCTTCCTTTACTCTTCGACTGTGCGTCATAAACAAGTATCACATAAAGTTATACTAAGAAATATATCGATTATTTATCTCTCGCTGCACGTTTCGGCCGCAAGCCGTCATCACGTGATGCACAACAAATTGGCTGTACGTTAAATGTGATGAATGTAANCGTTTCGGCCGCAAGCCGTCATCACGTGATGCACAACAAATTGGCTACAACATGCAGTAGGCTGTACGCTAAATGTGATGACTGTATGAAATTTTTATTTCCTATATATTCTTTGCTACTCTATGGAGCTGATGTAATCCAGTTTCCTTAGCTATTACGCAAATTGCATTTGAGTCCCTAATGACTCCTGCCACCTCTTTGAACATAAACGAGCAGGTAGAAATTACTTGATGATTCCAGTCAATGACTCTCCTATTTCTACAAAAGGAAAGTTGGAAGAATTTGTCGTGACCCCAAGGAGTTCTTCCTCTAGCTTTATTGATAAAATCTGCAGAATTCGTTCATTTCGCAGATTTACAACCCCACATCTGACACCAAAAATGTCGCTGTATTGACCCAAGATGTTGTTGGATCGACTGAATTACGTTGACCCAGCGGTAGCATAATAATTCAGCAATGTGGATTGTCTGTTGGCTGCCTGAGCGTGTATTCCAACCACAAAGAGCAAATACTCACTACAGAGAAAAATGCACCCTTCAACTCTTCTCTTGTTCTTAAAACTATCTAAACTATGGTTGCAGCCCAATGTCTCGAGACACGAACCCCTGACAAATATAAGTTACACCAGCGTAGGTTGAAGGATAGGTCCTGGACGAAATACTCCAGGACTCCACTGATTTATGAAGATTGCAGGGGTAGACATAACATTTTTAAGTGGAAGCAGGTCAACTTTTTGACACGTTATAGATTTTAGTAGATACATCAGACTCAGGGTTCCTAAAACTACTTGCGGTGGTACAACCCTTTGCGACAATATAGTCTCAATAAATGTACCTTATAAATACTGCACACTGCAAAACAATGACATTATACAAATGCCCTAAAAAATCATATATATATAAGCTGCCAATATGGCGAATATCCAAATGACATTATCCACCAGCAAGAAACCGGATATGATGTCATAAAGTCATAGAACAAGCACCATCAACTCTTGGAAAAAAAATACCCATTGCTTCCTGAAACATACCCATCAGTTACACTCCGCACGCTTCATTTCCTTCAAGCATATACATTAAACCGCACCACTGCACCAATTATCTTCTAAAACACATTTTACTACATTAGTAAGTCAAATTCTACCATCAACCCCAATAATGACCTAAATTTCTAATACTTAATATAAACAAATACAAATATCAGATCAGTCTTGAAGCATTCACTGCTTTCCCCAATTCCAACTGCATACTTCATACTCCATTTGTGAGCACATTTCCTCCCTTTCCCTTAACATTAATCTAACCATACAGACTGCCAAAACTTGAGGTCCTCTGCATATTTTTGTTAGCCCAGATAGTAATATCCAGCCACTCCCCAACAAAATATCAGACGATTTACTAAGTCCCCAAAACAAAAACTGTAAGGTATAATTTAGACTGACTTAACTAAAGGGGCTGTCTATATACAAACAAAAATCAACACACAAACCGATAATGAAGGAATACACAGTGCTGAATTCTACAGAAAAATTTGTTTTAGGCAGCAAATGCATATCACCAAACGCTGGAAAACGCATTTAATTTGAGAAAGTAGAACACATCAGAAATTCTCCAAGTCCCCCAAAACAAAACAATACTAGTAAATAAATTTAAATTGATTTGAATCAGGACATACAAGCAAAACTGGAGGAGAAACACAGCAGAACGTAATACACAGGTATATAGGGTTATCACGTATCACACATGCTACTTCTTGCACTGAAGATCTATTGTAATGTGAATAAATGCTATTGTACTCAGGTGACTGCAAAACTCTTTCAAACATGACCAACTGTTATTGTTTCATCTGCATTCTTACACATTACCATATTTCAACAACTTTATATGTACAGCCCTCATATTTTTCAGCCAACTTCTTGTGTGAAGGTAAAGCTATCCCTGTAATAGGCCTAGGAGGCCCATAGGGTCATGAAATGTTGAAGGACCCACATTATCTACACAATCAGCTCACAGATGGCAGTGAGGCTGTCAGCCTTACACACCGGCTGCCCTTTACCCCCCAGGAAGATTCCTGGTAGTCATTTCTGTTAGAGGTTGAGATGACCCCAGGGCCATAGTGCAGCTGGAAGGATGAGGACAACTGAAAAAATCCACCTCATTGGGACTTGAACCTGCGGCCTTCCGGCTTGTAGCATAGTGCCTCAATCGACTGCGCTATCGCATGCCCCCATCTTAGTGTGTAGCACCTGCAAATGACTGCATGCAGTGAAAACCTGTGGTGAAAGATAAGAAAATAAAGTTTTTTATGTACAGGTTTGTATAACAGTTATCTTATGACATACAGCAAGACACAAAAAGGATGTCTCATAATGAATACAATGTGGGTCACAGTAATATGGCCCTTGCACTGAGACCTTCAATGCTCTATTGTCCATTCACTTCCCCTACCCCCTTGATTCTATAAAGAACTGGACCAAGTGACCAAATCTTAAATAAGCTGTAGCCTCAGTATCACATAGGATGTGTGTGGGTCATTCATCTTTTTCCAGGCACCTTTCACAAGCAGGTTCTTCTATCCATCCCAGTTTGAAAAGGTGTCCTGTAAATAGTACTACCACCCATCTTAAACTGTCTCTGTTTAATTTTAACTCTCATAAAATTACCCTTTGACCTGAAGATGGAGGCAACATGTTCCTCTGAAGCATTGGGCTCTCTATGAACTATATGGGGGTTATAACCTAGTTATTACTGCTTGAGAAGTGAGCAGCTGTTGCTAGCTTATATAAGCATGTCTGAACTGAAACTTCAATAATTCTTTCTTCTCAAAATTATTTTGTTTCTGAGGATCGACTATGTGCACCAAGTGAAAGTGAGCATGGAACTACAACGGGTGACAATTTAAGCAATCCTTCCTAATTCTTGTAGCTCTTCTACATAAAGGGGTAAGGAAAATCCTATTTCTCTTTCATACTGGTACTAGGTTAAGTCCGATTACCACAATCGCATAACCATGACTAAATACAAACACGAAAAAAGAAACAAATACATAAGTTTACTTTTATTGCGTGATTTACATGTATCATATAACATGAATGGATGGAGAGAGGCAGCTTTTGGACTGATGTCTCCCTGGCTCTCCATACAATATGATGACAATGGCAGTGTCAAAAACATTTTTTAATTACATTTGTTAGACAGACATGAAGGCAGCTGTTTGAAGACTGAATGGTGCCTCCTACAAGGCATCTGTTGTTATCATGATTAATTCCCTATTCTGAGAAATCTTCAATCATTCACTTCTCGTACTTCAGGTTCCAAAATGACAAACAATTCATTTATTGTACAATTTGAGGTTTACACGGCAGTGACTATAAAGGAAGCAGTCTTCTGGGATGTGGCGCCATGTAGATATTGTGTTAACTGACGTTTCGGAAGAACGTATCGCCTCCACCTTCAGGGTAGAAGAAAAAAGAAGAAAATCTGCAAGTGAAGAACCAGCATGACCAGATGGATGGGATATGTTCCTCCAAAACGTCGGTTAACACAATATCTACACGGCGCCACATCCCAGAAGACTGCTTTCTTCAACTCATTTATTAATCACTCTGTCACATAAATAAAGGGAGCTGCAAGCCTGACACTACTGAGACTCAACAAAGCAAAAAGAAAAGACCGATAAATAAACTGAGATAATGAAATGAACACACATCCACCTTCAAATAATATCAAAATACACAATTCAGCAATGTCTGTGGTACTGGTACAGTTTCTCTGCGACTTTCATTGGCCTGCAGATGGAGACACGCCTGTGCCCTGTTCATACTGTGATTTGTTTTTGAGCAAGTATCCAGCTAGAAAGTTGATGGGATCTGGTGGCCTGAAAAAGTGAAATTTTCAATTCAATTATATCTGTGGCTTTAAAATATGTGACAATGAACACGACAGGAAATATAACACATTTCTCATATACAGATTATTCATTATGGAGAAACTAAGTTATAAAAAATCAATAAGTCAACCAAAAGTACTTCATTACGGGTTTGCAGTCAGCCAATTTTCAAGGGTCCATACGAACTGAGAGATGAAAAATGGTTCTTACACTTTAAATACTTTCATCTCCTATAATGTGTGACTGTAGCAGTGCGTAACTGCGACACATTCATTTAACTGAGTCTATTCTTTGAGATTTCTTCGTTTCTTGTAGAAACACTGCAAATCTTGAGATCTGTGTTTGTGATGTTACTGTTTCCATAACTACCCAAAGGCACACCTTGAAATAATTTGAGCTTTCAGAGCTGCAATCAACCAATATAGCTCCCCAGCTTTCCAACCTTATATGGAAGTTTCTCTGTATTTATACACAGGAGTCTGGGAACAGGGATTTCAACACTGCCAGTTCTACAGTGTTAGTGGTCATATTTTATATTGGTGGTAACAGTATTTGTATCTAGGATTTGAGGTTCTCACAGCAGTGGTTATGAAGAGTACCAGCTTCTGGGATATAAGTAACATGTATTCTCTTGAATATCAACTGATGTTTCAGAGGAACACACTGTTTCTATCTTCAGGGTTGAAGTATATGCCAAGCAAGAAACCAGTGCAAAGCTCTACTTGCTACTTCCTTCTTACTTAGCTTATTCTTGAATGCTGAAAATAGAGGCGACACATTCCTCCAAAAAGCTGATTGAATTTCAATGGGCTACATATCTCAGAAAACAGAACTCTTCAGTATCATGATCGATAATTCTGATCTTTGGTTGTGGACGTTGTTGCTCATGTTATCAGACATACAGAACAGAACTTGCATCAATAATAAACCACCATAAAAGCCTAAAATCACAATTAAAAAAAAAAAAAAAACCGTGATTTTAGCCCACAAGCGAACTACACCAACCGAGTGACCGCCGCTTGTCTGCAAAGTTCAGTGCCAAAGTTTGCAGATAGAAGGTGTCGCGTGGTCAGTGTAACAAATCCCCACAGCCGTTAATTTCCGTTTTCTAGACCGGAGCAGCTATTTCCATGAAATAGCTCCTCAATTATCATCATGAGGCTGAGTGAACCCCATTCCAGACCCACTACTTCTCAGAAAAAATCTGGTACCTCCAGAAACCGAACCCAGACCTCTGGATCTGTAGCCAGGAATGCTGACCACTAGATTACAGAGGCGGTCCTAAAATCACTATTAGTATAGAAAAAATTAAATTCTGGTCCATCTGGAACTTATACCTGCACCATCAAAATAATGTGACACATGATTGGCAAAAATCAATAATTTCACTAATACAAATGGAATATTATACCATAATGAAATGCACAGAACGTTGTCACTAACAGAATTATTCTGCAAATATAAACAGAGTGATGTAACATTGATTTCTGGTTAAAAGGAAAAATAATAATGAGAATAGAAGAGGAAAGTGTAGAAAATAAAAATCAAGGAGGAACAAATGAGGAAATACTGAACATAAGTTTCTTCTTGAAGATATATAGATCTACAGCTTTAAATGGGCAGGAATGAGCACAGTCCGCTCAGCAGCCATTTCTGGGCAACAGCTCGGTAAACACATTCCTCCAACAATGAACAGAACAATATAAAAACAGTTTTCTATGTGGTCCAGGCTGAAAAGTGATAACCAGGAGAGCTGGAACCATGTGGAGCTGGGGTTGAATACCTCCACTGTGGCCCTGCGAGTCGTAGGAGGTGACAAAAAGAGAAGTCTCGAATCTGAGACAGTAAAATATGGTTCCAAGTCCCAAGGGACTCGGACCCGAGAAAGACTGTGCTGGCAAGGGCCAGCAGCATGTATAGAAGACAGACCCGTCCTCTCATCAAAGAGGGCGCCCTAGAAGAACATGACCGTAACTAGCAAACAGTACTAAATATCTGGTCATGAGCCCCAGGAGGGTGCTCAACACCAAGACTTACTGAGTGACTGACCATCAGCTGCTATGTGACTCTGACTTTGACTTGAGTGAGAGGACTTGAGTTCTGCATGGAAGGCTGTGAAGATAGAACCTGAATGCATGAAACTGATGAATATCCACTGGGAATGGCTGGTGAAGATACAGCAGGCTGGAAAAGGCTTAGTGGGTGCTGTGGTCATTTGTGAATTGTGGAGATTAGAGGTTGCACTGTAACTACTTGCAGTTCCGAGGCTTCTGTATAAGCGGTCAATAAACCCACCCACCAATCCAAACCCCGTCTACAGTCACACCTAAATCATCACAGTAATACATAACTGTCAAATATATATGGTACAGTCTACAATGTTTGTTGCAGTAGGTACAAGAGTGACACATGGATTTTATTTTACAAATGCAACTCTCGTCTCATCCACAACAGAATCTGTCTATACCCTCCTAACATTTCACACCTACACGTGTAACTGTGAACATTAATATGTTGCTAACATCCTGTATCTACTTTATACAAAATAAAAATAAATCATAAACAATATAACAAATATGAATGAATGTATAAGGGGTGGGCCTTCTTGGCCCTTGCACCACGACCACAGTCATCTATTGTGCCTCGCCTTCTGATTATCCCCTCAACAATCCTGCACTTCGAATAAAGTGTAGGATTTTGTATGTGGGGACGTCAAAATAGTCACTTGGTTCCATAAAATATTGACCTGAAGTGGCGCAATCTTAAATAAGCTAAGGCCTCACATTCGCACAGGATATGTGTGGCTGGTTCGTTTTCCTCTTGACACCTCACACAAGTGGGACTGTTACTTCATCCCAATTTGAAGAGGTGTCCTTTAAGGTGACAGTGTCCTGTAAGTAGTCCTGCCACCCATCATAGCTGGTTCCCGTTTAACTTCAACAGTTCCTTCGCTCTTTTAGTAGAGGGTCCTCATATGAGTCTTTTTGCTTGCCTGAGTCCAGTTAAGGATCCCCAATTTCTGAACAAGTACAAGGAATGTGTAGAACAGTAATGGAATCTGTCCATCTGCATGCAACTCTCTACACCTCCAGCCTATCATACTGTAGCATGTATAGCCATTGCTACAATAACTGACAGTTGGGTAAATATACAAGGCTGTTTCTGGACAACAGCTCGGTAAACAAGTTCCCACTGCTAGGCAGGTGCATCAGTCTGACTATATAAATGGAAATGTTTTCTTTTTCTGTGTGATCCATGCCAAGAGGTTATGAGGTGGACAGTTTGAAGCAATAAGTTCATCTTGCCATGAGTCTAAAAGGGCTTGATGCCAAGACAAACTGATTAGCGGTAATCACCATTCATAAAGCGGCTTTAACAACAAGTTCAGTTGTGGAGTTTTAACCAGAAGGCAATGACATGACCACAGAAGCTGAAAAATCTCCATTGTTAAGATCTGTTACCAGGAAATGACTAATGAAAGCAAACTGAAAAGGCCTGATGTGTAGTGACGATTTATAGTGTGGAAATCAGGGAGAGTGTTATATTTATTTGTAGTTATGACCTGTAAGTGGTAAATAAAGACAATTATCCAAAGTCCCATTTACAGTACGTGATATCTTAATACAACCTGATCTCAAACAAACTGCTTGGACAAATCTTGGTCAAAGCTTTGACATATATGAGATAACCTGGTCAGCCTGGGAGTGCAGGGACCTGACTGGATGCATTTTTGGAAATGTAATAAATCATACAACTTATGAGATCTGGAATTTAGAAATGTTCTAAATTTTCAAATCCCAAATGTTCACAGATATCAATAATTCAAAACACTACCCCTTAAAACATGAAACACCCTAATGTTTCCAGGATTTGGAACATTGTGCGGAATCAGTATTTTGAAAATACAAGAAAAATTTAGAAAATAACAAACCCCAGAAAATGGGCAGTAAGGTCGCTGGTTCAAGTCCCGATGAGGTCATTGGGTTTTTTTCAATTGACCTAATCCTTCCAGCCATACTATGGCCCTGGGGTTGACTCAGCCTCTTAACAGAAATGAGTACCAGGAATTAATTAAATCATTTTCCTGGGGAGTAAACTGCAGCCAGCACATAAGGCTGACGACCTTACCACCATCTTTGAGCCGATTGTCTAGATAATGTGGGATCCTCAACGTCTCACAACCCTATGGGCCTTCATGGCCTGGTATAGGGATACCTTTATTTTTTACTTTTTATATGCCAACTAACCTAACCTAGTCTGTGGAATTAAAATAAAGATACAGACAAAAATGTAATAACTTAGACAACACTACAAAATTGGAAAAATTAAAAAATATTATACATTTTCATAGATGTGAAACTGTTCAGAAACGCCAATAATTTAAAACATTACTATTACAACAGTACAGAGAGCACAAAAGCATTTCTATAACCATGGAAACCACCCTAGTAGTTAGTTTTGTTGAAAGATTTGAGGCTGTTATGGTGATGACTACATGTCCTATTTTCTGATATTACTCTGTCATCCAGGGAACAAACATTTTGGAGGAACATATCACTTCCATCTTCAGAGCTGAAGAGTAACTAAAGCGTGAAACCAGCATGAAGCAGGAAGCAAGCAAAGTTCTGTTTCATAGTGCTTTATTGCTTTGGCTTACTTTTGGACCCCGAATATGGAGCTGATATGTTCTTCTAAAATGTCAGGTGACTTTCACTGGACTACAAGGCATTATTATATCACACAAGACAACTGTAAGTCCTGTTATTTCCATTTCATTAGAGCCAAATGCTCACTGCTCCCTCAATATTATCTTTTACTGCTCTCTGAGGTGTGGCCCGGCCCTGACCAGGCAGCCCTTTTATCACATCCTCAGTTTTTTAAGATGAGGACTCATCTCTGGCCTGATTACACAGTGGAGAAGTCTTTTTTTTAAAAGCCCCTTTAAAGCCCAGCGGTCACTATATGTACCATTTGCTTGAACATACTACAACTCTGAATTCTGCCTGCAGAGAATATTTGTCTGTTTCATATGGTTCTCACAATAAATAGCGCCTATTTACCTAGACAGCGCTGACCAGATTTGTAACTGAATGTGTTTCAGTACAAACTGAATTTCTGTGTGTTATTTACAAGAACTACAATCTTTAAAAGGTTAAATAAAAACTAACACGTTACATAAACCTAATGTAACATGTGTTCTACACTAACCACTTTTACTTGTTGCTGCTTCTGAAATAACTACAATTTTGAAGTGGGTGAACATCATACCCTTACTACATACTACCTTTCTTTTGCTAATGTTGATAGAGCTTGAAGTAAAATGGGGACAACTGTCTGATCCAAATACTGCCTAGTTGGTAATGACTGTAAATCCACTCTCGATTTCTTTGTTGTTATATCTCCCATTGCAGCATCTTTCTCGCACGATATTACTTTCTGCAAAGTAAAGGAAGGGAAACATGACATCTAAAAGTTTGATTCGGTAAACCATTCTCTTATGTGCAAATTATTCAAAAACTGTACATACATGGGATACATCAGACATGCCATTACTTCCAGAGGGTTGCGGTTCTGTCTCTTCTGTCGCCGGCTGATCTAAATATTGTGATATAAAACAAAATTAGTCACAAAGGACTATAACCATTTGTTTAAATTGTAAATATCTGTTTCCTTACATGTTAGTACTGTGCACAGTGTAAATACAATATCGATTATCATAACTGGGCCACAAATTATTACGCCAACAAGTTAACGCATAGGGCAAGAATTATGTTTAGAATTAGTTTAAATTTTCACCTCCTTCCACTCTTACCCGTTGCCGATGCCATGTTTATTTCGTTAGTAATCCCATAACATGGCTACCTTGAACTGTGAACGTAATGAATGGTTTGCTGGAACCATAGCTACTAAATTACACAATACGTTTTATGTTTGGTACGTAATCAATTGTGATGTTGGTACGATTGGCATACCTTTTACTGTGAAATACAATGAACAGCGGTACACCAACACGAACCGTTCAATACACACTAAATAGGTAAACAAAAGTGTGTCGTACTACTAACCCTGCACCTATTGAAAAAATGGCGGCTGATTTAAATTCAAAATGTGACCTGTAAGATACCAAAAACAAACGGAACAAGCTGCAAATGTTTAAAAAGGCATGACTGTAGGAAAAAAACAGACTCGAGGCTGCTCGCCTATCGACATCTATAATACGAAAATGATAGACAGGATAGAAATATCAATACCCCAACAATGTCAGCACATGTCCCATATCAGGACACTGAATATACCAACTTCACACTCCTGTCCTGCCCCCACACCATAAAAGGGAATACAAAAATAGGAATCGACCTTACACAAACTATTTATAAAATATTCGTTGATTCAGGCCTATATCAATTTCAACTACTTCTGGTATTCCAAAACAATTACCTCTCAATCTATCCAGCAAAAATTAATTTTATTTTACAAATACAAAACAGATAAGAAATTGACCATGTGAAGTATGTCAAATCGTCTTAAATGCTTAGTGATAGCTGTTATAGTGTTTTATTCTCTTCCGAAATAAAAGTTCTTGTCCTTTGTATATCACATTGTATGAATTCAATTTTTCTTCCCCTTTGGAATATACTCCATAAATGACCACCATTTGAAAAAGCATAATCACTTTGCCCATCGCCATACATTTAGAAAGGCTACAGAAATTTATACAAGAATCATACAGCACATCAAAAAGAGTTCTCATTTTCTGTACTGTCATAAATTTATCATTTTGGAATGCCAGAAATGCAGATATCTTAGTGCATAAAATAACTGGTCACCTTTTGTTGTGTTATTGTAGAATCATGAGTACAATTGCTGCAGAGCAGACTGAAAGTCTTTCACTGAGTCTTTGAACATGACCAATTTGCATGCTGATAGACAAAACCAGCTCAATTTCTTAACAGATCATTTGTCTTTTCCAAATCTATCCAATTAAAAATAATATTTAATGTTTTCTACCACCATAAATTTGAGAAAAATCACGAAAATAACTAAAAACTCTACTGCATATATAAAAACTTAAAAGTAAGTAAAGTAAAGTAAAGCTATCCCTGTACAAGGCCGTGAAGGCCCATAGGGTTGCGAGAGGTTGAGGGTCCCACATTATCTAGACAATCGGCTCAAAGATGGCGGTAAGGTTGTCAGCCTTACGCGCCTTACTCCCCAGGAAAATTATTTAATTAATTCCTGGTACTCATTCCAGTTAGAGGCTGAGTCAACCCCCGGGCCATAGTGCGGCTGGAAGGATTAGGTCAACTGAAAAAAATCAAATGACCTCATCGGGACTTGAATCCGCAACTTTCCAGCTTGTAGCATAGCCCCTCAACCAACTACGCTACCACGTGCCTTCTATATAAAAAATTTATCAAATGCATAAATGTTTATATTTGACTACAGAGTCTCTTGTCAGTGGTCAGTCTGTGACGATGGTTGTGTTGTCCAGATGTTGTGATATGTGTCATATAAAAATATATAATATTCTGAATACACAAGTAGCAAAAAGTCACCAGGCCTAACATGGATAAGACAATACTGGTACAGCAAAACCACCATTAAACGTTTGTTTGGAGAACAGCAGATCTGAACACCAAACTAAGTATAATCTTAAATGAACAAAATTTAATACTTAACATGACTGATCTGATATCAACAGACACTGCGGAGTAAGTGATGGAAAACCTTACACATTAAAACAGAGTTCCATTGTGTTTATGTGTAAGTGCTGATTAGGAGAGAGTCCTGATATGAGGTACCAGAAAGAGAAAATACATTGAATAACCATTTGCAGTTTCTAATTTGGAAGTTTGGTCTGGAACTAATAGCCCTTAAACATGATAAACTTTTTTGCTATAAATTCTAAAAAATTAGAAATTCTACATGTAAAACATTGCTGAGGGTACATCATACCTTCAGGGGGGGGCAACCAGATGAATACAAAGCTAAATCTGATACTAAGATTTTGGTTCTCATCGTGAGCTGAAACTAATTCTATTAACATTCTAATGACGAAATTATTTAATATCATTACCTAATCATGACACACCATCAGTTTTGGACACAATTTACTGACAGCGGCACAGTAATGACAAACCTCAACTACACAAATCAAAAATGTTACAGTGAGACAGTCACTTATGAATGCAGTCTTTGGTTCCATGAATACTAGTTGGAGATTCTTGTTCTGAACAAATGAAATTCATGGCTAACTGAAATACATGTCACTTATTATTTATCAATACAATTTTTGAGATTACAAAAATAATTTAAATGCATATTTTACAATATTCACAGTTATAAAAATGTAAGAACAAAAAAACAAAAACATTTTATTATAACCCTGTATTCATTATTTGTAAAAATACTGGTGAGAAACTTAATATTTACTTGTATCTTACGAGTCTTCAACTTATACCAACACCTATTTGAATAGGACAGATATTTTTATAATATAAATACTGCATAACAGATGATGGAAGGTGTATTTGTGAAATTAAATCTAGGATTGCCATGGCAAAAGCTGCATTTAGCAAGAAGAATCTTTTTACCAGCAAATTTGACTTAAATTTGAGAAAGAAACTAGTGAAATGCTACATTTGGAGCATAGATCTGTATGGGGCTGAAACATGGACACTTAGGGCAGTAGATCAGAAACATCTGGAAAGTTTCAAAATGTGGTGTTGGAGAAGGATGGAGAAGATCAGCTGGACCGATGATGTGAGAAATGAAGAAGCGTTATTTAGAGTCAGTGAGCAGATGAATATCCTACATGAAATATGAAAACGGAAGGCTAATTAGATTGGTCATATCTTACAAAGTAACTGCCTTCTAAAAGAAGTTATTGAAGGAAAGATAGAGGGGCAGATAGAAGTGACCAGAAGACGAGGAAGAAGAGGTAAGAAGTTGCTGGATGACCTTGGGGACAGAAGAGGATATTCTCATTTGAAGGAGAAAGCTCTAGATCGCATTAAGTGGAGGAATTGTTTTGGAAGAGACTGTGGACCTGTCGTCTGACAGATTACTGATGACGATGAAATACTGCAGTGACTTTCTTCAGCAATTAAGAGTGGTACAAATGTTCCTTGTAAATATAACAGCAACAAACATATATCTTCATAACATATATACCAAACGTTCACAAATATGTTACATCAAACAAAAAGCAAGGAAAAGAAGTTATTCTAAAAACAAATATCCATAATGAAAATGAAACAGGTTATACAACATAACAGTTGTGAATCACATTTTGTTAGTTGGAAATTAAAGAAAGAAATAAAAAAGACAAGCATGTATATCTTCGACAACAGACTCTTGTACTGACCAATATGAAGTGTCATTATACTAGTATCAACCAATGACAGAACAATGTAAATTCCTTGTCAACCACTAATTTCAAGTACTTGCAGTTTTCCATTTATATTAAGTTTCCCAATTGAAATATTTGGTTTTGTGTACACAGAGAAAGGGCTGGTGGCTTCCACATCAAGATACCCATACTTGCCAGTAACAGGGCTGTAATGAGAGCTGATGCATGTGATCTAGCTTCCATATTAACACTCCCATGTGTCTTTGTAGTACTGCTTTTCTTTTTCAAAAATGTATATTTATTTTTAAACATGCTGATATAAACTGTTTGTGTTTAGTGAAGGAACCCACAACATAGGCTTTGATTAATGTTAACCTCTGCTTCAGTTCCCCTAATCCCAAATTTGTATAAAGCCTAGACCTCAACAACTATGGTGTTTTATAAAGAATGGAGCCCTTGCAGTTGACAAGGAATTGCTGTATGATTAACTGTTTAATGGTTAACAGTACATTTAACAACACAGTGAGATTCTTAGTAATACAGCAGTATTTAGGATGCCAATCCCTCACAAATGTCTCAAACTTGTATTCTGAAAGTCTCGGGATTGAATCCCAACCTCACTACCACAACAGATTTGTGGCCTTCTTTAGTCTCTTCAAGCAAATACCCTTACAAAATGGGAACAAAATGTCTGATATTCTGCCAGAGTATGTCAAGAAAGTGAATAGCTACTAATGTGCTGTCAACATTTTTAATTCCCTTGCAGTGACTTCAATGCATATTTTGTTTAAAGTAAAAATGAATAATGCAGTCACTACAGCATATGCAAGTGTAACATATTACTAGCATATTGGAAATGAGCAATAAATTCAACAGATCTGTCGAACGTTAAATGCATTACACAGTTCTTAAAACAGTTTGTTCATGAACTGGAAAAGACATCATTGTTACAGTCCCTTTCTTACAAGAATACATATAAGTTTACATACTCTAGGCCAAACAAACAAAACAGTTGTCATGTCTGCACTTCAACTTATGATGTCAAGTCCCTAAAGCGGTATTGCAGTTCAAAACGATTATGGTTCCTATAATTCTTTCAAACTGACTTCATACACATTTAAAAACCTATGGGTCAAAAAAAGGTGAAGTTCCTGTGCTTACTTATTTAAGTACCATGCCATGAAGACATCTCAGGGAATGGAGGTAGAATCTCCAAAATTCTTGGCTTTGGCACCAGATGGAAATGAGTGGTCAGCTTCACACCAGTCACTTTTCTCCTGGGGGAAAAGCCTCAATATCAATTGAACAGGAGGCTGGGTGGGCCAGTGAGTCTAGACAATGAAGAGAAAAGTCCCTGACACTGCCCAGAATCAAACCCAAGACATCCAGCCCATAGCTGACTGAGCTATCCTGGCTCTTGAAAACTAATTGGTGTGTTACATAATGTTTAAAGTTAGTAAGTATGATCATGGTAACTGCCTAAAGTTTGGTGCTTAAAGGGTTGTTGACACTGATGATAGCTCAGATGTGATATAGAGAGACAGTAATGACCTACTTTAAGGTCATTACTGTCATTACAAAGAAAGCTGCTGTAGTTGTGGAAAAGTTGGATTTTGTATATATTGTGCATTACAAACATTGTATGTATATGTATTTTAAGACTCAAAACACCCATTGTGATAGTAGTTTCCAAAAAGTATCGATGTCCCTCTGATGATGGTCTATAGGGACCGAAACATGTAAGGGTGTTAAGTTTTCAAGTAGTAAAAACTTCAATAGTCACACTGGACAGAGCTGTTTTGTCTTTGTACTTTAAGGTCCTATCACTTTTACCTGTAGGCACCAAGGAAATATAGAATAAAGAATGAAAGTCAACAGAAACCACACAAACTAGATAAAGTTAGTTCAGAGACATGGAAACTAATTATAGATACCAACTGTACCATTATGTAAGTCAGAATATTTTTAGGAAAATTCAAGTTTTGTAAAACATGTAATATGCTTCACAAAATTGAATAAGAAAGGTCTACGTTTCAATGCATTAATATTGACACTCTTTTGTACAAAGTCTACATAATAGTTGTGGCCTTCTGAGTTCTGACTCTTGACACCAAAGCAGTCTCACTGGCAGACACCATCACTGAGGAGGTACATGCTGCCCCCAAACTCCAGTGTCTGAGATTACACTGTATCACACAACAGGTAACCACTGTGAAGGCATGAAAACTTACAAATATATAATACATAAAGAATATATTTTTAGGCCCAACTTTCTGCTTTAAACTCATACAACAAGAAAAACAGCAGGGAAATGGCTGATACGCAATTACAGATTATTAATATACAAATTAGGTGACAAATACCAACAAGAAATGGCACTTCAGGGTTGAATTCATTCCTTTCATGTATTATATTACATTATATATTTCCTCTGTACATTTACTTACATACACAATTTATCCTACTTGTTACAATCGAGTACAGACTATTACAGTTTAGTAACAGTGTCTCAGAAAGGCAACTTATAAACTTAACAATTTAGAAAACCCACCACACTTATAAAATCTCTATTTTTACAGTGGAAGAATGTGCTGGAAGCAAGAACATTCTTGTAATAAATAAGGCAATATAAATTATTTGTCTGTTTTTAAAAGACGTGACAAGTGCTGTTCGGCATCACAGTCAAACTGGTCAAAATAATTTAGTATGTGGGATGGATGCTCATAATTCTTACAAATAATCAGTTAAATGGTATGTACTACTACATGGAATGCAAAGAAGTAGGTCTTGTATGCCTGTACTGTCCACCTTTCTTGTCTGATCAAATCTTCCTACACCTGAATCTAACAAAGTGCATAATGAAAAACAGGCCCAGAATAAAGTACCCTAAAAGATCCATATCTGTATCAATGCAGACAGGCATGACCAATGTGCTTCTTGTCTTATGGCAATATAAGTTATGACTTAATTGTGTTATAAAACACCAGTGGGTGCTGGTGAAAGGTATTCATCGAGAAAGTATCTCTCTCTTGTTATGATTCCTCTTAGAGACAACAAATATGACTAAAATGGCTCAAAGAAAAATTGAAAGGCATTTATTACCACTATAATTATGTAGAAGTTCTCCCCAGCTTACGTAACTTTCAATTTATGCAAATCAAACTTCGAGCAGAAAGTTTAAAAAAAAAACTCAGTGGCTGTAGTTCGCAAATGAACTATACCGACCGCCTCTGTGGTCTAGTGGTCAGAGTTCCTCGCTATAGATCCAGAAGTCCCAGGTTCGATTCCCAGCACTACCAGATTCCCCGAGAAGAAGTGGGTCTGGAACAGGGTTCATTCAGCCTCGTGAGGATAACTGAATATCTACTTGAATGGAAAAGTAGTAGCTCCAGTCTAGAAAACTGAAATTAACAGCTGTGGAGACTCATTGCACTGAACACGCAACATCCTCTACCCGCTAAAGTTGGCACTAACTTCACCGACAAGTGGCAGTTACTTGGTTGGTCAAGCAGAAACTAAGGTTACTTTATTTTGAGCCATACTGAATGTGACAGAACTATCTGATAAGCCTCACACTTTCTTTCTCAATGTACCAATTTTCTTAAGCAAAAGGCTACAACTTGCAACACTCACTCTTGTGTGGAGGCTGTACAGTACAAGCAAGCAAATGAAGACCACGGATTTGTGTTTCTTAGCTTAATCAAAAAGGCCATGCCATGGTTCAAGCAATTAGTAGCCGGATTCCCACTGTGGTGGCCCAGGTTTGATCCAAGGGCGTCATGCAGGATTTGTGGTGGATAAAGTGGCATTGGGACAGGCTTTCTCTGAGTACTTCAGTTTCCCCTGCCAATTCTCATTCCGCCAACTGCTCCACACTCATCATCATCTATCATCCAGGGATGGTAGATTGTGCAATGGCCGTGTGTGACAGAGGTGAAAGACGTAAAGCTCCATACAAATTTTGGCTTTCTTGTGCCCTCATTGTCATTTAATATAATATTAGTACATGGATATTACATAGCAAAATGGATTTTGTTGCTGGGTGGAAATTGGTGTGAACCCTCGGAGAACGTGCATATGGAGTGGTAAAATTGCTGATAAATAGAAGTTCAGGAAGAAGTAGCCATGAAAGTGATCGACATGAAGAAACATTAGCAATGTACACAGAGAGGTGTGCATACAGCGGGTGTTGACACATCCTCACGTTGTGAAGTTTTATGCTAATCGTCGTGAAGGAAACTTTGAGTATATCTTCAAGTTTCTATCAGCAGGAGAACTCTTTAACTGCATAGGAGGTGAGTATTCTTCACAATCAGCAATTAAAAGAACCATTCATAATGGAGCTGGTCAAACTGGCATACATCAGTAACCTGGATGTAACATTTTTTTACATGATCTGTTATACACAAGAATGTTTGGAATCGTTACCTTCTATTCTGAGTTTAAAACGGTCATAACTCCGTAACCGTCCAAAATTGGACACATGTTCATATAAATGTTTTTGATCACAAAGACCTAGGAAATCACCTCCTGCAGTTATGCCCTAAAGTCGTGAAACACCCTGTATAATATGTATCAGTTGCTGCCATGCCGAGTGGACCCAGTTGCACACCAGCCCTCACTAAATGAATTACAAAATATA